GTTCAAGGAGTCCATAATTGATGGAGGCAGGATTTGAACCTAATCTGTCTGACCACAAACTGTTTTGCCAAATTGCACTAATTCCCTTAAATTCCAAAATCTGTATTTCAAAGGGTATGTTGGCCGAATTAATTACTCTGCTTGACTGCATTTTCTACTCAACTTAAGGTAGATTTTGTTTATTACAGTTCTTGCTGAAAGTCTTTCTAAAGGCGGAGCAGAGGATCCAGGTTTAGAAAGAGAAATCGCTGTCTCACCACGGGCATCCTTCTGAACACTCAAGTCCAGCCTAAGGTATTTGGGAAATGGAGAAGAAAATGTATTCTTTTCTCAGGATCTAATCCTAAGTGTGAAGGGGCATAAAACTGTTTCCTTAGTAATAAATGCTGTGTGCCTGCTTGGCATTCTTCTTTGCTCTAAAGTAAAGGGAAGAAATAAAAATAGTGTGAGACTGAGGAGTCTGGGTGTCTAGAGTTGGTTAATCAGCCAACTCTTGATTTCGGCTCAGGTCTTGATCTCAGGGTCGTGCGTTCAAGTCCGGCGTTGGAGCCTACTTAGAAACAAAAACAGTACGAGACTAGTTCTTGAATGAATGGTTATTTGGGTTCCATTCAATAAGTTTCATCCAATGTCTAGCTAATTACTATTTTAATCGCCTCATTATATTCCATTCAGTCAACATGTCACAGTCACTCATTTCATTTTTAAACCTAGTTTCCTTCTTTCATTTTTTTCAATGCCCAAATATAAACCCACAAACCTAAAAGATGTCACTAGTTCTCCAATATAGTATTTACCTAATTCAACTCCCAGGACTTGTTGAGAATATAACAAAAGCTACGATGCTCTACCCAGAAAACTGCATATTTGCCCAAACACACAAAACACGGCACCCAGACACCAAGACAAACACCCCAGCTCTACCACTAGGACAGATACCAGCCTTACATGGCCTATCCAGGCCCCCTCCACTCTTAAGGGAACTGTTCCAAAAGGCAAGAGCAGCTTCCACCTTTCCAAACTGCTAGCCCAGGGCAATGCTGGATCAGTCAGAATCCCTCCATGGGATTTTTATTACTGAAGCAGAGACAGAAAGTCCCTTTTTTGGAGGGGGGAGGGGGCAGAAATTACAAAATGTGAAATTCAGGAACCATTAGTTCCCTGCCCTGTGGAGGAAACCAGTGAGCCCTGAGCACGAAGAAAGCCAAAATGGACAGACAAGTCCCGATAGCACCCAAGCACCTGGTTCCAATTACTGCTGAACCCAACCCTATTCCTGTTCTCTAGGTTTGGTTACTAATTGGTCCTTGCACAGGACAGACCTCCAAAACCCTCCTAACAAGTAAAGTTTTTGGCTAAGCTCATTCACATTTCTACAGCTTTCCACAAAAGGAATTTAACATTTATACTGACTACTTCTAAATGCTGTATTTGTTTTCGACAAGTTTTATATCCTTTAATATTTTTCTATACAGATGAATTCCTTTAGGTATTTCATTAGGTCTTTAAATACTAATTTCCAAAAGGCTCACATTTCACTCTCCATAAAAATCTTTTAGGATATCTCTTTAAAATAAGTCTTGGCTTCTCTCATGCTACATGCTCCACACACTATTAAAATATAATTTTAGAGAGCTAACTGCCTGATCATTTTTAGTTTAATTCCAAATGTAACAAGACAAAATTGCCTGCGTAAGTCGTCTTTTTTCCTTTATGTATTCAATTATATTCCCTGCTTAAAACACTTAAAAATTGGCAGGGATCCATTTACTGATGGGTGCTTTAAGTTAGAAAGCAGTAACATACCAAATTCACCACACAAAGTCAGGCTTATTCTTGTCACTGAGAGTTACCACCACAATGGATTTGGAAATTTCCACCTTAATTGCCAGTTTTTACATTTCAATCAAATAGACTTTAACTTCATAGACTGCAATGCAGTCCAACTCGGATCAATCCAACAAGCTCCTAGTTCACACCTCTCTTACAATCACCACAGATTTCTTCCCGCTAGTCACAGCCTTGAAAATTCCCTCAATGCCCCTGCATTTTCAAGGTTACAATAGTAATGCCACTTTTGTTCTATACCATTAACTACTGCTAGTCTACAGATCCTAACATAATGCTATGAACCCAGTGGACTGTAAAAATGGTTGAATCTCGAAGTTAGAAAAATACTTGGAAATCATCCAGACCAATCACCTTACTTTCATAGATGCAAATGTCAATGCAAAAACTAGTTAGTTATCATGCCCAAGGTCAGCAGAATTAGAGAAAAAATTAGAACACATGTACATTGAGCATTTTACCAGAGTATGTAGGTTCCCAATCCCCATATAAGATGCCTCCATGATAAATATATATGAAGTTTTCCTTTAGTGCTACAAATGTACAGTTGTTGCTGTACTTACGGATGTAAGACAAATTCAAATGAATTATAAAAGCATGAAATTGCTATATTCATGAGAAGTCTTTTCCCATTAATTGTGGTCACATTAAAAACGCAGGAGAAAGCCTGATTTAAATGATCTGCTCCTTCTCTGCTAAGCTTTCTCAAATGTCCCTAACATACACAACAGTAAGCTTGCTCCTTCTTAATAATGCTGACGTGGTTTATTCTCATATTATACTGTTGACTTTGGTCATATTTGGTCAAGTTCATATAAAAATGTTTATCTAGTATTAGACTTTGTTACCTAAAATGAAATCCACCAGAAATACATGGCATCTTGGTGTTTAGATTTCATAGTTATATACACTTTTTTTCCAGAAATAAAGAAAACAGACATTTTGAAAAAGAATGCTGTGAAACAGAACATTCTTATGTCAGTGAAGCCCTCAAAATAAAGATATTTGGATGAAAATATGGGCAGTTTTAGTCATCTTTTGCACAGTGACTGGTACTATTTGCCTACTACATCTTTGTTCGAAGAATAACATGGTTGGTTACATTACATACTAAGGAAACTTGACTCCTTGGGATGACTATACTGAGAATTGCTAACTTTTCTTGAAAGCAAAAGAAAATAACATAAAAGATACCATCTACAAACCTACATTATATTTATAAGCCATAAGTAGTTTTGAAAATTCCAATTAGCAAGAAATTCTAAAACAAATGTAGCAATTCATAAACATAAGGTACAGCATAAGTGGTTAAAAGAAAATATGCACAATTACAAGATTTTGTAAAGTAAACTGGAATTCAGACTAATCCCCAGAAAGCACGCTCTTTTTCCGCAGCATATTGTTGGCACTAATGCTTTACTACATTAAACCCTCACACACAAACTCACCTGACCAAAACACCAGAACTCTCAAGGATATAAAAGCACCAATAAATATAGAACAATATTAATATTTTTGAAACAGCAACTAACATACATAATTTTAAAAGCGTAATAGAATTAGACATAACTCTAAATTGTAGAGTCATTATTAAGGGAAAATTCCATTTCACTTACTACAATGAAACTTCGGAGAGTTTAGGGGCATTAACATAGGCGCTTGTAAAAGCTCGCGTTCCTAATTGCTAAAGAAGTTATCAGGAAGTTAAAAAGAACGTCAGTGGATTAGGCATTCATTTTCTTTAACACAACTCATGTTCTTAAACAACTCTCTTAAACACAATCATTTCATGCAAGCACAATCAATCCTGATATGCTAGTTCACCTTTTCCCCAGCTCAGCCTGAGAAAGGAAAATACAAATATGATGCTTTTGAGCCATTTTAAACAACTTCCTTAAACTGAGAATGGTTTTCTGTCATTTCTATTATGCTGAAAAGGGCACACAGACATCCAGAGAAATCAAAAGTACAGCAAGCAAGCTTACACTCTTCCTCACATGCTAACTGACTGCAGTGGTAAGGTCATGGTCAAAATTCACAGGCTCATTTAAACTTTCATGGCTCAGCCAACAGCTCCTATCGTGTTTCCTGATCCTAAGGAGATTAAAACCGCAGGAGTTTCTCGAAGTAAGATCAGCAGGAGGCTATTTCAGACCCTCAAACCGCAGTCCGCAGAGTCCGCAGCGGCACGTCTCCAACCACCTCTGGCTGTGTGTTAAGCTAACCTTTCCGAGCGTTCTCCTCCAGACTTTTAAACAAACCCCCAAAACGGGTGCGGCCAACTCGAGACCGCTTTCTGTCCACGCCCGCGGAGACCCCCTCCTGCTGTCATTCCCCAGGCCGCCTTTCCGCAGTCGGTGACTCCGGCCTGGCTCCCCAAGGTGGGGGAGGAGGTGTGGGGAGGAAGACTCCCCGCCAAGCAGCTCTTCAGCCCGCACAGCGGCAGAGTGATGCGGGAGAGGAGCAGAGGAAGATGCTAAACACCAGTGCCATATTTACATGAGCTTTTTCTTTGCCAAAAAGATTCCTTGTACCCAATGATATCGCCTTTAAAGGAAAAAAAGGACCGAAGCACTAAAGCCCTGACCACATCTCCCGATCTCCAGTATTCTCACCCCTCTTCCCCCGCGGGGAGGCTCCAGACGCTCCTAGCCTCGCACAGGTACACCTGCCAGCCAGCGGAGGACCCGACCGCCCCCGCCACCCGCTGCCATAAGTGAGCGATGTGCAAGACTCAGACCCCGGCAGCCCCCGCCTGGGATGACAGCCCAGGCGGAGCCGTGCCCCACACAAACTTCCCAGTTGCCCGGCTGCGAGGACCGGCCGACAGACGGACGAGCGCGCGGACGGGGGACCACACTGGTCCCCGCCGCAGGGTTCAACTGCAGACGGGACCCCTCGTCCTGCACCCGGCCCTAGGTCCAAACGGGGCTCAAGGGGCGCCCGGGGAACCCGGAGAGGCGGGCGCGCGCCGCGGGGATGGGGGCACCAAGGCGCCGCGGCGGGCGGACAACACCGGAGAGCGAGCAGCCGGAGGGCCGGGTCCCCGCTCCGGCTCCCCGCCCCGCAGCAGCTGCAGCAGAAGGAGGAGGGGAGCGAGGAGGAAGAGGAGGAGGAGGAAAGGGACTGCGCGCCGCAGCCCGAGCCCTTACCGAGTGGTTTACCCCCCACATCAGGACGCTGAGCAGCGGATCGCTGGCCCGAAAGAGCTTCACTTTCTGCGCTACGAAGTGCTTCTTCTTGGTCTTGGTCTTGCTCGCCAAGACGGAAGACCCCAGGTTGCCGGGGGTCGCCATGGCCGCCGCCTCCGTCCCCTCCACCGCCGCGCTCCCGAGGCCGGGGACCCGCCCTCTCTACACGCCGGCCGGGGGAGGCAGCCGCATCCCCCCGGTTGCGGCCCCGGCGCGCCGTGCCCGCTCCGCCCGCTTTGCCCGCTCGGCCCGACAGAGGAGGGAGGCTGCGCTCGGCTCGCGCCCCGGCCCGGATCCCGCGCCCGCCGCGGCTCCGCGCTCAGCCCGCGGCTGGACCAGGCGCGCAGCGAGCGGCTTCCGCGTTGGGCGCCGGCGTCATGACGCAGGGGGCGGGCGGGTAGCAGCTGCGGCGCCGCCAGGCGGGGCGCGGCCGCGGGACCGTTAAGCTGCAGCCTAGTGCTCGGGCTCCGGCTCCGGCTCCGGCTCCGGCTCCGGCTCCGGCTCCGGCTCCGCGGCGTCCTGGTGTGCCGCGAACTCAAGGCGGCCGCTCCGGTCCCGCTGAAGAGGCCGGCGAGGAGCGGGAGGCCTCCGGCTGGGCAACCCCCCACTCGCTCCCCAGGGAGAAAGGGAGGGGGAAGGACCGAAGAGTGCGGAGAACCGAGAAGAGGAGCCCCCAGAGGCGGCGGTAGGGCGAAGGAATGAGGCTCAGGGAACCGCCACTTACCGTTGCCAGGAGTCCGAAGAGCTGGCGAGTCCTGAAATGCTGCGTGGAGACCGGGGCTTCCCTAGCACCAAGGGAAAGGACCTGGGCACGTCGTTGGCCACCTCCCAGAGTGACACTGACATGAAGTTATACTCCTATTGTGCCTTTAACTTTCGGGCCTTTTATACACTGGACTGCAGACCTCTGCACTGTCTGAGTCCTGCAGAGTGCAGACGCCCACCCACCACACTGACTGTCTTTCCTACCCCCACCACCCGGCAAGACCCTGGACTCCTGGTTCACAGCCCGTGGTTTCGCCTGGAGAGTCATGCCTCAAACTGCACCTTCTACTTCAGCTCCTCCGCAAGGCCTCTTACATTTCTTCCGTTTATCCATTCCACTCACCTTCCACAGATGCCTGTTCATCGTCTTCATCCATGTACACCTTAATGCTGGGAATAAATGACCCACCTCAGGAAGCTGACGTTACAAGTGTGTCTAAACACAGTGCTGTCCCCAAACCTGCCCTGACTCAGCCCACTGGGCAAACATGTTATCTATTGTCATTATTACTCGACTCAAATATAGTGGATGCCCACTGTGTACTTGGTGATGTGCTTGGTTCTGTCAAGGAGACAAAGGGTGACAGACCCGCATCCCTTGAAATGCTCAAATCTCATAAAATGTAGAGTACTTGCAAATAACCCATATAATCTCCGCTGACCTCAGGGAATTAAGTGCCTGGGTGAATATCTCTACATCAGTTGTCCATAGGCACCTTTAAAAAGTATCCAAAACTTAAATGCATTTTTTTAAAAATGTCTAAAATGGAGGCATTTGGTTGGCTCAGTGTGTTGAATGCTCACCTTTGGCTCTGATCATGATCTGGGTCCTGGGACCTAGCCCTGCAGCGGGCTCCCTGCTCTGAGGGGAGCCTGCTTCTCCCTCTCTGCCTGCCTTTCCCCCTGCTTGTGTGTGCTCTCTCAAAATCTTTAAAAAAAAAAAAGTGTCTAAAACCAAGTTGTCTCTTTATATTCTATTGGAAATGGCATTCCTATCACTCAGTTACCCCAGCTAGAAGTTCATTTGTTTAACAAATTTTCATTGATCCAGGTTTGAAAGCTTAGAATCATCACTGATTACTGCTTCTCACCATTACTCCACATAAACCCCTTTACCAGGTCCTGGCCTTGGAAACAGCTGTTCTCAAATATTATCTCTTCTCTAGTGCTTTCATGGTCCTCCTGGTCAAAATCAATCTGTTCACCTCAGTGCTTCCATAACACTTGATTTGCTCCGTAAGCGTTTCATTGTACTTAATTGTGTATCATTAATGTAATCATTAATGCAAGACAGTGGGCGTGCTGTGAACCCTGAAAAACTGGATTTAGTGATGACAACGTGTTGAACCTATAGGAAGGGGAGATGGACACCTGTGGGGACAGTCAGACGTAGGAGAGCAGGAAGATAGGGTTTGCGCACAAGGCGTCATCCCTGTCCGGGCCTGTCAGGAGCATAGACATGGAGATGAACATCTATGTGCTATTTTTGGATAGTAATGAGCAGAGATGTATCCATTAAAGGACAGAATTTTTTTCCAGCTTCATTGAGTTGCAACTGACATAACACATTGCGTGGGTTTAAGAAGTACAGCCTGATGTCTTGCCATGTATATATGGTGAGATGATTAGGACAATAAACTTAGTTAACCTCTCCATCACACCTAATTGCTTAGTGTTTGTGCCACGTATGTGATGAGAACATTTAAGATCTGCTGTCTTAGTAACTTCCAAGTATATGATACAGTATTGTTAAGTGATAGAATTTGGGGTGATTTAACTTGATTTGAATGGCACTATAATAAATGCCATTCGTGAATAGGTCATTAAATAATTTTGCCAATGACCTTTTGCATTAACTTTGTCCTTTGCAGAGGGGGTGTGTGATGCGGAAATTCTGGAGTCACAGAAACGACCACAGAAAATACCTAATCTGGTTCTCAAATGATATACTCAGACAACTAAGATCTAGACTTAAGAGACTTCCTAATTTGTTGGCAAATAATAAACTCTTGAAAGCAGGGTCCATGTGGAAGTCACTCTGTATTCTCCAGATGAACCTAACATACTCCCTTTCTGGTAGCATCTACAGCAAAGTTTTGGTGAACAAATGGTAAGGAAATTTTCATCTCTAACTGCAAAATTACACAGAAAGTTTTCATGCCCAGTAAATGTTTGTACCAAGTTCCATTCAGAAAAGTTTATTAGAAGATTAGCCTAGGCGAGGCATAATATTTAAAGTTGAAGGTTAGGGACACCTGGATGGCTCTATTGGTTAAGTGTCAGACTTGGCTTTGGCTCCCGTCATGATGTCATAGATCGTGAGTTTGATCCCCAGGGTGGGCTCCATGCTCAGTGCGGCATCTGCCTGAAGACTCTCCCTCTGCTCCTTCCCCCACGTACACACACTATCTCTGTCTCTACAATAAATAAATAAATATTTTTAAATTAATTAATTTTTAAAATAAGGTTGAAGTTTGGGCGCCTGGGTGGCTCAGTGGGTTAAGCCTCTCTCTTCAGCTCAGGTCATGATCTCGGGGTCCTGGGATCGGGCCCCACATCGGGCTCTCTGCTCAGCAGAGAGCCTGCTTCCCCCTCTCTCTCTGCCTGCCTCTCTGCCTACTTGTGATTTCTCTCTGGGTGTCAAATAAATAAATAAAATCTTAAAAAAAAAAAAAAAAAAGGTTGAAGGTTACACACTATATGGATTTTGCAACTTAACGATTTGATCGCTCTTTTCCTCGGAGTTTGTGCAATGATGAAACAATGCATATGACCTTGGTTCAGCACCACATTCAGGCAGCTTGTGTCTGTTCAGGCAGAGTTGCAGCACCCCAACCACCAGCATGTCTCAAGGGTCTTGACCAGAGGCGTGGCTAGAGAAAGAAGAGCAAAGAAATTTGATCTCAGGATGTATGTGGTTATGTTGGTCGGGGGGATCTGCTCTCATTTGTTTGCATTTGGCCTCTTGGGCTGTTCATCCAAGTGCCAAGTTCATCACAGTTGCAAGAAATGCTCTAGCAGCCAAATTCACTGCAAAGAAGGAAGGAAATGTCAGGAAGATCGAAAGGCAGATGCTCACTTGTCTCTGCTTGTTGTTACTGTTGTCTTTGTTTTTCTGTCTCTTACCTTATTAACCAGTTCTATTTATTAACCTCGAAAAGTATGGCGAAAGTGTGATGTTGACTAAGGTATACAATACCAAAAATGAAAATTGAAATAAGGGGATGCTCTGCTTTTATATTTTATTACCCTTTTCACTAAAAAAAAACAAAAAAAAAACAAAAAACCAGAAAAACAACCTTCCTTTGGTGAATAATTCCAATTAGAATTCTTCATTGAGTCATTCAGTAATGCTGTTTGGAAGCTTTTATGCCTTTCATTGTTGCATAAGGAAATCAAGGCAAGATGTGGGACCATTCCCTTTCATCTAATGTAGTGTCGTCCAGAGCCTTGCCAGCCAAAATGGTATTATTTTGGAAGACCGTTATTAAAATCCATATAGTTGAACCCAAACAAACTGTAAGAAATGGGATCCAAGAATTCAGTTGCGACATACAAATTACTTTTTCTTTAGTGGGAGGGTTGACAAGAGGCAGCCCAACTTGCCATCTGGGAGTCCTGAGGGTCTAGCTGTGCCGTCCAAACCCCTCCAGGGCTCGCTGTGGTTTGGCAGCAGCTGGTAAGGGCTGTCCACCCAACTGAAATATTGATAGTGATTCTTCTGGCTTCTCCAGCTGGCTGGGACTTCCAGGACAGTGGTGTTAATTCCAGGAATCTACCACTTACTTGGCAGCTCTTCCGTTGGCCTGACTTAGAGAGACTGGATAAGGAGAAGACTGGACACAGAGGAGCCAACATAGGGAGTGACCAGGACCCCAGCCTGCCTCACTTTCTCTTCCCCTCCCCAAGCCAGAGGGTGAGAACTTTAGCAGCCCCTTTGGAACCTCTGTGGAGGACAGGACAATCTCTGATGGCATTATATTTTTATTATTCACACCTTTATAATAGAAATAGAAATATCCAGCATTGTGAGAGCAATTTTCATGAATTACAGTAGATCCAAATAGCAGACTATAATGCAACCAATAAAACTTGTGTTTTCAGAGAATATAATGACCTAAAGTAATCAGATGCTAATATAAGTGAAAAAAATGAGATACAAAATTGTATATAAGTATGGTTTTGACATCATAAAATGTGTGTACGTGTGTGTATATACTTGTAAAAGACCAAAAGGAAATACATCATACTGTTAAGAGTAATATATGAGGGGTGACGTGTTGGATGAAGAATGATTTTAAAAATATATTTCTGCATTTTCTAAATGTTCTAAACTTTATTTGTGTTATGTTTATAGTAATTTTTTTTTACATGCAACCATCTTCCCTGGTTAAATAAATAACACAGTAATAGCATTTAACATACTGGCCCATTCCTATAACAGAACACCCTTTTAAGTTATTCCTTGCTATTTATTATAGTTACAGTATAATTTTGGCAGTGTTGAACTAAGTTTGTACTGGAACGGGCCATTTTCCAATATGTAAG